CAGATTTCCCCCATGCACAATCTCACGCTCTAGTCCTGTGCATGCTAAAGCTTGTCCTGATCACTTCTCTTCCACTCTTCTTGGCCAAAGAGGATGCAGGGGTGGTTTCTCCCATTGATTTCCAAAATTTCTTTTATTTATCTCACCAGACCCAGGCAACAAATAGCCGTCTAGATCTTCTATAAGAGGTTTGCTCTTTGTGATTACCAAGTCTGACAGAAGAAAAGATATAAAGACTCAGTGGAATTCCACTTGGAAACTTTGCCAGCATCTTTCATGCTTCGATCAAAGGCCTGTTTCCTTTGCAGCCTGAAGTATCCACCAAAGCAAGGGAGGGCTGAATGTCCTCTGTGAGCCAGGTATGGTCCTGGCTTCTGGAGCTATGGAGGAAACGGTACAAAACAGGCTCGCAGTTCACGTTGCAGTGGTGGCCGTAACCGCCAAGTACATTTGTACTGTCTTGGAGGCAATAAGTTGCGAGGAAGCAAAGTAAAGCTGGATGAGGAAGCAGAGTTCCATCTCCAAACCCAAGCAGGTCCCCTATTTGTTTTGTGCCAATTACAATTATTTGTCCCTTTTCCTGCACTTCCCACCAGATGTGCCACTCATAACTTAAGCACTGCACTTCCAAGAGGAAGCCAACAAACAGTGTCCTCCTGACATGGTTCCCATTCTGTTGAAAACAGTGTTATGGTTTTTGTCTGTGTGTCCCCCAAAGCCTCCTGCGGCCCATGGGGAGGCTTTTAGAGTTGAATAATTGTGGGTGTGACAGCTACACCCACCCTGGGGTGAATAGTTTGCATATGTAAGGTAGAGGAAGGAGTGCTTGAGGCTATTCTTCCCCCATTCCGCCCTGGGGGTGATGGTTGCTGAGCTGTGGCTGCCGCCCTGAGATGCAGCCCTCTGCCACGTGTCACTCTGCCTTATAATCGCCAAGTACGGATTAAAACTTCCACGAACTGTAAGCGAAATAAACCTTTCCTTCCTTCATTTTGGGCTTCAGATATTTTGTCCCAGTAACGAGAGAAAAGTAACCAAGACAAACAGCAACGCTGCCCTCGCCCTCAGCCAAGAAGCAGCGTGGTGTTGTGCTACCCCTGCCCTTGCCCTAATCAAGCACTCCCTGTGTCCTGTCTTCCACGTCCTTGTTCATTTACCTTGCATTCACTAGGAGCTTTGCTCTCCTAATTCTAACTGAAGCCTTCAGTAATTTCTTTGTTTTTCACATTTTCTGTGAAGCATTGAAAGATTCAATATTCCAAGACAATATTCCAAGTTGCTGTAAAGAAATCATCCCTCTTCACTTCGAGAAACCTCATTACAGTCAGATTTGTGCAAGGCAGTGTTGCTGATAGAAATAATTTTCAGAAGCAAAGATTTACTGTTTACCTGTGTCCTGCACAAGTGGATGGAGGAAAGTAAATGAACTAAACTCTGAGGGATCTTTATGCACATCAGGGAACCCCAGGGCCTGGTCAGTAACTATCACTGCAAGATACAACCAGGTGGCTTCTAGGTAAATTACTGTTTTTGCCAGAAAATGCTTAGGATATTACATTGGAGATGGTAAGATGATGGAAAAGCAAATTTTGAAGAAGAGCAGAATGAAGATGCTGAAGAATAAATATAAAAAGGAAACATCTACAATCAGTAGAGCACTCAAAACTCTGTGTTTAATGAGTAATATAAAAAATCCAAGCCCTAAAAATTCTACATTTAATGCAAAATATGATTCAATATCTTCAGTCATCTTTTCAGTCCTTCTAGGAATTTTCTGGAATAGAATAAGTGAATAGGAGATACCACCTTTCCAACACACGAGGAAAGGAAATAAAACAGTTGACTTCGAGTCCCATCCTCAGCTGTCTGCTGCCTCAAGCCATAAACGTGGATTTATTTCTAAAAGGAAGATAATGATTCCTACCCATGTGACAGTCATATTGTAAAGATAAATGACATCCCCTGAAGGGGGCTGAGAAACTACTGGCCATTTTGTAATTGTCAGGGATTTGTTTGTTTTTATTTTCAGGAATTAAGAAGGTTCACCACTGGTAAAAGGTCCTCTGTTTCTCACAATGCGGAGACAAGCTATAAAGCAAACATCTGGCTGCATCACATTTCCTTGGAACAGGGTCTACCAGGTGTCTCATGACCCTCATTCCTTAGCACAGTTTTGCAGAGTGCAGCAGCCTCTACCTAGCCAGAATAAGTATAATCATAAAAGAAGTTAAAGAGAGATCAAAGTAGTATTAAAGATCTCTTTACAATGTAAGCTCATCTCAGTGAATCGACTTTGTGAGAGCAAGAACCAGTTGTATCTGCTTCCATGCTCTGTGTATGGTTCCAATGGTTTCTGTATGTGCTGAAAGGCCCCCTATAAAAGGTGAGAGAATCAAGTGCACCTCTGCTAACAACCTTACTCTTGGCTATGGTGGTCAACTGGATCCAGTGACCCCTGGTCCTCTCTCTTGGGTCATTTAGAGAGATGCACAAGCAATTACTGAGAATAACTGCTCATGTAAATTGACTCTGAATGACTTTTTAGACTGTGAACTCAGGCATTCATTTCATATAAATTATAGGAAACAATAACACTAACAAACCTGCATCTCCACATCAGTGAAAGGAATATCATTGCTTATTTCTGCCCTGGTCTTGATTTATGCTGTCCCATGCATTTTCCAGCACCATGGAAGAAACCAAGCTAATGAATGAGAACCTTAGAGCAATGAAGCTCCATTGCATGAAGGCGTCTTGGAAAACTAGCTCTTAATTCTCATCATTAGCAAAGGCCCATCCATTACAAAAGAGAATGTACACTCGAATCCCTAGTTTTGAACAACAATTTCTCAAAGTATAAGCCCTGACTATGGTTGTCATTTAATTATACAGCTCTGGTATTGCCCATATCAGTGGGAAATAAACATGCGCAATTCAGAAAAGTAATAAGTTTTCTCTATTTTTATTCCTCCTCTATAAAACACTTGATGTGGTTTTCTGGTCCTTCTAACATCACAGCCTCTGATTTTTTTCATTACCCATTCTACTTTTCATAAGAAGAGATTCTGCCAGAAAAAAAATTCCCATGATAAAAATAAACTGACTATCATGCCATTAAAAGACAGGGAGAAGAATTAAATGGATATTACTAAGTGAAGGAAGCCATTCCTCAGAGGAGGCTACCTACCATAGGATTTCAACTATACAGTGTTTTAGTAGATGTTAAAATTCTGGAGACAATGAAGATCAGTGTTTACCAGATAAGAGGAGAGGGAGGCTTACACGGAACATGGAAATTTTAAGACAGTGCATTGATTTTGATACTGTGGTGGTGGATGTGTGTCATAAATTTGTCAAAACCAATAGAACCCACAGCACCAAGACTGAATCTTAATGTAAGCTGTGGGCTTTGGATGATAATGATGGGTTAGCAGGGTCAGCAGAGGTAACCAGCTACCATTCCGATGAGGATGCTGATAGTGAATGTTGCTATGCATGTGTAGGACAGAAGGTATATTAGATTTTTTTAAAACCTTTGCTAAATTTTGCCATAAATCTAAAATTGCTCTTAAAAGTAAGGTTTTTTTTTTTTTTTTTTTTTTAATGGAGGAGGTGCACTCATGTCTCCCCACTACTGCTATCTGAAGTAGCCCAGGACATGAACAACAGAGCAAGCATGGGCAAAGTAAACCAATAGAACAGGGAGCTAACAGAAGTAAAGACATCCTCATGTGTCCTCCTTTGGTCTCTCTTTGCTGTCTTTTTCTTATCTGTAATCTGTTCTCTTGGTCTTTTTGTTGTTTTGCATTTTGTCCTCACCGTACAAACTTCTGTATCCAGACATGGAAAGAAGAAAATACTTTTTCAGGGCATTATTAGTATTTACGATCTCAGTTACTATTTCTGCCCAAACTTAGTGGTATAAAGCAATCTTATGTAATGCACATGGCTGCTGGGAGCACCATGAAGATGGCTTGTCTTTGTTTCCTGATACCATGGATGTGAAGTGGGTGGATCCAAGACTGAGTTGGATCTAGAGTAATTTAATAGCATCTTCTCTCACATGCCTGGATGTGGATTCGGTCTGTGGCCTCACACCTCAACTACTTTGTCTCCTGGAACACCCACTCATGTCTCCCCACTGGTGTCTCCATGTGGGCTCCCCTGGGCATGGTGGCTGTGTTCCAGAAGACAGCATGCTGAGAGGGCACGAGGGTAGTGCATGGCACTTTCCTGAACTAGCCCACTGAAGTCACCCAGTGTCATTCTTTCCATAGTCAAGTGTGCCACAATGGTCTGCTCATGTTCAAGAGGAAAGGACAGAGGCTCAAAGCACTGGATGGAGGAGTGCCACTGCCAGGCTGTGAGAACTTGTAGAATAGGAAATAGGATTACCGCCATTTTAGAAAATGTCATCTGCCACAGTAGCACCTGCATCTGAATATTTAGTGAGATCTCACTCCATATCTGTATCTCTGACTGTCTGTTTCTGATTATAAAGCACATGACAGCAGGAACGGCCATGTTGAATTAATTTACATGAGGTTCACTGAAGCTCCTTGTACTTGGCAATCAGAATACACAATCTTATCACTAGTGCCATAGTTGTTGATGGATACGTGCACTTGACTAATCATCTTATGCTACAGTACCTGTAATGTGTTAAACATTAGACATCTTCATAGTAACCAAAAAGTCATACTGCATCTTTAATGTGCAAGTAAATGTTGTGACTCCAATTAGGTCTTTGTTACTAGAGAAAAAGGACATACTTTCTTCTCCCAAGTGAATAGAGTCTTCTAAACCAACAACTGATTCTTACAATGGGGGGGACACTACCCTAAAGAAACTTTTTTTGTAAATTTTTCTTTATAATTAGTCACAGTTAATTTAGTAAACTATTAAAAGGTTTATCAGTATTAGTAATCGGCGTGGACCTTGTTCATGAGTGGAAATGTCTTCTAACAAGGTAACTAATGAAGCCAATTGTCCCTTTTCAGTTGATTTCATAGGTGGCTTTGATTCTTATGGCTATCAAGGGCCTCAGAAGACATCACACTTACAACTACAACCGATGTACATGTAAGTACTGTACCATGGTGGGATTCTTTGGGGGAGCTAAAAGATGATCAAGGGAGTGTATCATGGCACAAAATAGATGGCAAAAAGCTTTCCTTTGGTTATATATTTCCAGTATTTTCTTTGCTATTATTTTCACTGGGAAATTTCTAATAACATTTTCTTCACTTTTTAATTTGCTTTATCAGAAATGCCATCTCCTAAATTATCTTTAGTCTTATATAAATATCACCTACATGGCTCAAAGCCTCTTATATACCAGTTCTTGAAATTTTGAAAGTGATAATAATATTACAGATAGTTTTATGTTATTATATACAAGCCAGATTTTTCTGGTTCTCCCGAGGTACCCCCAATTTACAATGGTTGCCTTGGTATGATTAGTATCCGCTCTTCATATTACTCTCAAAAGAGTTCTCATTTAGGTGAAAAATGACAGCTCGCCTTAGTTATGTGCAGTGTTCAAACAGCAAAAACTGGGCAATACTCTTTCTCTATCATTTTTCTAATGTAAAAGTAAAAATGACTGGAGCATTAACACTGAAATTGTCAATCCCTTAACTCTAGCACTCAAGAGAGCAGACATACAATCAGAGCCTGATTTTTATATATCTGTGTTTAGGCAAATTCCCTTGGATAACAACTGATAACACATTCTATATATCAGCATCAAGTGATATGCTGAATTGCAAGCGAAGATCAAAATAGAAAGTAAGATTCCAATTCATTTTAAAATGTGAACTTCTCTTTGAAGATATGTGTTTGTTGTTGCTGTCCTCCACCATGAAACCATCTTCTTTTAATATCTCCAGCATGTAGGGTAATAAATAAATGGCTCTGGGGAGTCTTCTCCCCCAAAGAGAGTAAAGCGATCCCCTTAACTTTTTTTTTAAAAAAAAGAGAGAATGCTATTTGCATTGTGCCTGCCTTTATCTTTGTGTCCCTTGTAGTTCTCTGCACGCATTTGCTAAGACCACTCATAGCAAAGACTTTTTCAGTTTAGACACCAGCCAGATCCATGTGTCATATTCAAATCAGTGCCGCTATGTCACACATCCTTTCCTTTCAGTGCCCACAACCACTGCCCTAATTCAAGCATCTGTGATCTGTGAAGTTTTCCTCTTTCTTATTTCCGAACTTCTGTCCATCTTCCATGTGGCTGCCAAATTAATCTTCCTAAAGTATTACTAAAGTATAGTCATTTGAATTGGAATTGAATGGTCTTATTCAATTCCCTTCCCCAAAGCAATCTATGACTCTTTATTACCTGCTAAGAAAAATCAAAACTCATTATAGCCTAAAAGTGTACCTTGATCTGGTCTCAATGTTCTGTTGAAATATTATCTCTTCTCTTCAATCTTTAACAATCTTTGAGTCCCAACATGTTTAGATTATGTTAGCAGTCACTTGGAAGCTGTAAAGCTGAATAAGAACTGGCTCTGTCTTCCTAAAGCTTCTAATCTGTTGAGGGCATAAGTAATCTAGTGTCTTTCCCTAGTCATTTTTCTCCTAGCTGCACTAGAATTCTTGCCTTCTCCAAATATGTCATATATTTTTTCCAGTTCTCCATGTTGACTTCTTGATAATTGACCTTACTTTTTTTTCCCAAGTCTCACCCTTTTAAGCTCCATTATTCTTCAAATTTTTCCTTAAAATATAATTCCTATGAAGCACTCTTCAATCTCTTCTTCCTCTAATGATTCTTTTTCTTTCGCCATAAACTGTAAATATTTGCTACACTTACCATAACTTTCCTAACCTCTCAGAAAGATTTGATAGCTGCAATGAAAAGTAAAGTGAAATTTCCTATAAATTTTTCAACATTTCTCTCCATATTTTATTGTAGCACTCTGTAAAGTGTTCTATTCTAAAAAGGCAAAGCAATCAGAAATACTCATAAAATGACCTGTTGAAAACAAACTGCCTGAGACTAAATTCTTTATGACCTTGGCCATATAACTTTGAATAACTATAATCTTGCCAAGTCTCACCTGCAAAATACAGATGATAATATACATACTTCATTTAATTTTTTCAAAAGTATCTATATTGCATGTGAAGTATGTAAAATACAAGGCATGTCACATAGTGAGTGGTTAATACACAGATTTTATTTGTAGTAGCAGTACTGCTTATGTTAACCAACATTATTTATGAAAGGCCTTTATCAAGTCAGAAATCAACAAATATTATATATCATTCAAAAAAATCTCTCCTATAAACAGAACAGATCATGTAATGTGTATGGTCAAGTTACATGTAATAATGTAAGCTCAATCTCTTGATTTTTGAATCAAGAGATTCAAAAAATCTCTCCTATAAACAGAACAGATCAGAAAATGTGTATCAGGTCAAGTGACATGTAATAATGTAAGCTCAAGAGTAGGTGAAATTATCTACAAGTTTGCAATTACTTTCTTCTGGCAATATCATATACCACTTCATTGTACTGGTCAATAAATATGATCAAGGAACAATAAAGTAAATGTAACCATTCATCTAGTCATCAGCTATGATAATAGCATGAAGATGCTAATTATACATAATCAAGTCTATTGTTTCTAATCAGGTATTTATAATTCTAACGCTGGTCTTTAAACAAGGGCTCCTCAACAATATGTATCTTCATCAACAATTAAATTCCCTAAGCACAAAACTTCCCATGATATTATTAAATGAATATTTTGTTTTGTTTTTTTCTTTGTTTTTTTCCGGTACCGGGAACCGAACTCACGACCTTGCGCTTGCCAGGCAGGCGCTTTTTGCCGCTGAGCTAAATCCCCAGCCCCTAAATGAATATTTTGAATGCCAAATAAAAGTAATAAAGTTTTTCCTCTGTAATGTCTGAAAATGGTAAAACTATAGGACAGCTCTCAAGTTTCATTGCTCATGAAATAAGCTAAATATTTAATGGAACTCAGATCTTGGAAATCAGGAACAGTTAAAGTACATTCAAAAATGTACTAGTTAATATTCTACTACCATCCCAAACATCCTGTAAGATTCCACCAAACATCCGATAGGATTCCTCAGACCCTAGAACACTTACATGTTATTTTACAAAAGAAGAATTGAGTCAAGCGGAAGGAAAACAGAAGTCAAACAACTAGTTAGTGACCGGATGAGATTATCAGCCAGTTTTCCTGAGCCCTTAGTTCATGGTTTTTTTCCCATGAACTGTGAGTTCTACCAGGCACTGCATTCGCTGGTTTTATTTTACTTCTGGGGCACCTTACAGTGATTCATCTGCCTTGGCTCCCTGGTGGCACCTCCTTCTGCACACTCCTCTCGGTCCCTTTTGACTGTGCCCCATAGAATGCTGAACAAAGGGCCTTTTCAATTTTGTGACCCTCTAAGCCCATCCTCTGAGAGCTACTGCCTATTCAAATCCTGGGAAAAATCAAAACTGAGTTGCCTCTACCCCTCATTCCCTGCTGAGAGGCAGTGCCCTGAGCATCTCTGTCTTTGTCATTTGAAATGTCCCCTCTCCTGTCAACCTGCCATAAATACGTCTTGTAAAGTAAGAGTAATTTAACATCATGGGCCAGTTCAAGAACCCATAAATATTATATAGCAACTGGAAATAAAAGCTGCTCTTTTCAGAGAAAGCAAACACTACAGGCAATGTGCAGTTTTAGCTGTGAGATTTCCACTCTACCCAGCGAGCTCCGGTAGCCAGCAGCCTGGACAGAGCTGTGAAATCCTGCGGACACCAACTTACAATCACAGCCATGTCCCAGTGCTTGTAGCCAACTAAGATGAGTCATTTTTATTTTCAGTTAAGTTTGGTGACTGTTCTTGGTTTGTGATTTTTTGAATTATCTATAATCTATATAAACAGGCGATGTTGTCATTGTTTTTCTTTTCCACACATCTTGGTAAATCTCTTTGAAAAAAGTGGATAGCTACAAAGTCACAGCACAGAAAATTCCCATGTCCGCAGATTAAGTTTCTAACAAAGTAATGGCTTGATGACCACTGATTTGTGCACCATGGCAAGTATAAATCTGCTCATACTCCCTGCTAGTGAAAGCGTCCTATGGTGAACTAGAGCATGCGAGAAAACATTGCAGTCTTTTTGGAACCCTAATTGTACAACAATACATATTCATTTCACTCATCCCCAGAAATAGATCTTAAATGACCATATGTGGCCTTTATCCAGGCAGTTGCACTGAGAAAAAAGAAAAAGAGTGGAAAAATCATCTATTTAAAACCCAACTTGGGTTTCTTTCTCTTTCTCTTTTTTCTTTTTTGTTTGCTCTTGTGCTTAGAAAGGTGGAAAAAAAAGGTGAAAAGCAACAGACACCCATTGCTCTCCCCTTTGATCAAAACCATCTTTTCTCTCTCTTAGGTCAAAATGAAACAGAGGACTTCAGTATGTCAGCCCATGGACCTCTCAAAGAACTTGTTCCACAGTGGCCTCCTGCGTTTTACAAAGAGCAAGAAGCAAAGGAATTTTAATATAGATACATATGAACAGAACAAACACACGGGTTCTACATATTCACACACATACACATGAACACACACACACACACACACAAGCATCAACAAACCACTTCCACTTAATCTCCAGACCAGTATGGAGGTCACGCCCATCCTGGATCTCCTGAAAGCAGGTTCCTTTCTCCCAGGCCTTTGAAAGTTCCAAAGGAGACGTACTGGTGTCCTCGCCTGGCCCGCCTCACTCTTCCACAGCCCAACTGTCAGCCTCTGTGGACTGGGAAGTCATCCAGGGCCCATTTACTTGAGAGCCCTTTTTCTGCACTCTAAATATCTCCATAGCACCACAGCTACTTAGGCAATGTAATCACAGAAACAAACATCAACACCTTGTACCCGACATCCACAATGGCAGGTTGTTGGCCCTAAAGGCTGTACCGCCCACACTTGCCTTAACCCACCTACGTTGTGTGCAGACCCCCGGCCACTTTCTTAGCTAACACACTGCTGTCCGTTCTGAGTGAGCTCAAGTGTGTTTCGCATCAAGGAACGAGACTGACCAGCTCAGCAGCTCCCCTGTGTCCCCGTAAGGAAACTGCCAGCGGCCAGCCAAGTGCTTTACCACTGAGCCTCCAGGTGGCCAAAAGAGACAATACCGATAACAACAGTAATAGCCGTCATCTTTATAACCCTTATATACGGTCTTCCCATGGGGCTGGGGCGGGGCAAAGTAAACCTTATGATCTACTATACTCATTAATCTACTGGAAGCAGAAACGGCTGAAGTCACTAACTGTATTTATTGCACTCTAGGTGCTTTTCTAAGTATCTACAGATGTCTTTTACTAACACAGAGAACAGCTGTGGATTTCTATCAGCAGAGGCCAACTGACTATGTATTAGCTATGTTTACTCTTTTATATCTAATTCAGACTGAAGACCCGATGTAGGTGAACTTTCTTTTCTAACTTTGGTGTACGAAATTATTTTTTGGGTGGGTGGGTGGGGAGCATAGTTACCTTGGTGAAATATCTGAGATCTCTTTGTGGTATTTGGGGGATCTGTTGTGTGTTAGAGTGTATTTCAATTCTCCTGTATTATTGTGGCAGAAAAAAAAAAAACTGTGCTGTTAACGTAGTTGGCAACAAGATGCCTTTGGAAACTTAATAGTAGGTCAATGTGTTTATGGAATATTCTGAACTCCTAGGAAATTTTGCTGTATAATTTCAAGCATTATTTGGTTTTCATTAGTGAAAAACATAATTAGCTCAGGCTTATCAGTAACTCAGATGAGTCGTATTTTTTCTTGGAGACCACTAAAATCAATTTTTGTTGAGACTAACTTCACACCATACTTAAGTGTGGTGAAATTCAGACTGGGATAGTTTACAAATGGTCATGGAGCAACTTTTTCCTTTGGTTTCTGTGAAGTTTCGGTTGTTGGGTTAACCTCCTTCGGGCCTTAGCCCATTCAGATCTCATATCACAGTCCCATATCTGTGTTTGCATGATGTTTATAATGCACACACACACATATAGATTCAACAATCATAGAGGAACAAAAAATTACCACTGAAACATAAACCACAAAAGAAGAAGATTCTAGCACTCATGCTTGAATTTTCTCAGTGGCTTGTATGTCTGTCCATACATACATGTATAAAATACACAAGTGCAATATCAGTGAAACCTCATTCAACGCTTTATAGTGACATGCATGTTTAATGTATGAAAAAATAATTACCAATGTATTTTCCTTTGAGTCTTAAAATATAAATACTATACATGCCAGAAACTATTAACTACTGTGACTATTAACGTGACTCTTTGCATGAGGTTTCACTGTACACACACTGTAGTGAGATTCCGTCTCACAGGACATGTATATGGATACAGAAAATAAGCCCTCATCATCCTGCTTTACGTTGCAGCCAACCACCACCAAATCACTACTTTCATCACCACCAAAATTTTAGAAAACAGTTGTTGACTACTAAAAAGTAATCAGTGGACAGGCCTTTAGTAGGAGCGCTAAGCACAGTAGTGTGATTCTATCCGGGAAAACATCTAAGTTGTACAGCTGTATCCTCCTCGAAATCTGGTGAAGAATGCTATTTTTCTAGGCTGAGCTTTTGTTATAAACCTAATATTCAGAAGGCAAGAGTTACAACCCTGACGTGTCTTTTTTTTGCATTTGTTAATTCTGAATGTATTTTTAACAGAGTGATTTTTTTGACTTACTAGTGTAATTTGCATTTTAAAAATAAATGGAAAAACAATTCAGTTTCTGAGCCATCCCTGAAAGCCCCTGCCATCTCCCAGTGTATCCGATCTGCCGTTGACAGGAAAACCCAGGACACTGACGAGACCGCAGACGCGCTGGGCAGGGCAAGGATGTGGCAGCAGCGAAAAGAAAAGTGTCCCGTGGTCGCAGGGCGCACAGGCTGGCTTACGTCATCTCCTGATGCCATCGTCGTCTGCAAGACACCGGCCCAGTGGCTGTTGTTTTCTTCACTTTCTTCTAACTCTGAGTTAGCTTCAAGCCAAGAGTTGACAAAGGTGTTAGGAAAGTATACTCCAAACCTTCGGTTAAATTCTAAGGAGAGTTTTTCATTTTTTTAATAAAAAAGATTTTCTTTGCCATAAAATAACTAACTTATAATACTCATTGATGGCCCCTTGAGGGATATAATCTAGTGCTGTCATTGCCATTAGAATATTGATTTCACCTTAGTGCAAGACAAGTATAATGAAGCATTTCAGGGCAGGGAGGCAAAGGGAAAAGATGAACCCTCATTTCAAGTGAGATTCAGCGACTCCCGCAGAATGCTCGGCTGCTGCTGAGGTGTGACCGCTCCCTGCGGCTGGTAGATCCCTGGGAAATCACAGTGAGGCTGACTCAGAGGCCAGGAGGTGTGGAAGCAGAGCACCCAGGAGCTGAGGTGAACACGCAGCGCTTGATCTCCCGGCAACGTGCAGAGCGCCCTGGGACTGATCAAGGCTGCTTGTAGCTCTGGTCCCTGCGTGGAAGGTGGGCTGAGGTGTGCTCGTGGAAGCCGGTGCAGAAGGGTCAGGTCCCTGCTTCACCTGCACAAAGTCACACAGCATCTCAGCTGCATGCAAAGGGACTTAGTAGGTCGAAAAATAGATCTGTCTCCTACAGGAACCGTGTCTCAGTGGGATAGTTTGTGGGTTTGGTAAATAATAGGATAAAGATGCTTTCCGTGTGGTGAGCATGAGAACACACAACTTCTCACACCATGAAGCAAATGGCCGACGTTCGATGATGACCCAGTGAGTGGGTCACTCGGTTCAGAGACACAAACCCGTTTTAAATGTGTTATATTCAGAACAAAACTTTGAGATCCAAATGCAGTCGTTATGGAAACAGCAAACCAAGGCCCACAGAGTTTAAGAAATCACACAAAGTAACCATATATTCTGAAAATCCAAATAAATCACCACTCCACAGCAATTTCCTGTGTGCTCTCTGGTCAGAATAGAATAAATCAAACTGCAGAGTCCATCAACTGACCGTAGATTTTGTAAATTCAAATGAACTGTGATACAGAAAGACCCTCAAATAGGGTAAACCATACAATGCTTCTGGATTATTGTGTTTTAGACTCAGTGTAATTTCTGTGTTCAAATACATTTTGTTATACTTCCTTTAAAAACCAATAACCTGCACCCACATGTAAACATGCATATCTGATGTGTTCTTGTATATTACTCAGCCAGTGGTATTCATTTCAGGGTTAGAAGATTTTCCATCATTTATTTTGTGATACACTTATTATTAGAGAGACTGGGATTGCTCAAGCAGTAAATCTTCAGTTCTTCCTATATTCAGCCCAAACACCTCCCTGCAGACATTTAATGGTCTTTAATAACATTTCAGCACTCAACACCTACATTCAGAAACTTTTGCTATCAATACTTTACATTGAAGAGAAATTAAGCCTTAATTATTTTCAACATATATCAATCCTCTCTTAGGATCTAATCCACCTTTTATTTCATTTTACCTACCTTCCCCCCACTTTCAAAAAAAGAGCAAAATCTATGATGAGCATGTTGTGTCCAATTTAAAACACATTAGTACATTGAAATAATCACTTTCAGTAGGTATGAGGGAAGCAATCTCTAAAATAAATGTTTACGTTCTTATTCTGTCCCTTTTAATTCCACATTTAAACTAAGTAATGCTTTGAAGGATCAGAGTTACAGTACTAATGAGATCTGCATAGGAATTATGGGTAATGATCATTAGTGACAACAGAGAGAAAACAAAGGTGACGGGTCTTCCTAAAACAGATAAAGACAGGTACTTTCATTTCTCTAGAACAACAGTGGAGGTCACTTTAAAAAAAATTTTAAACATTCTGGAGTTTAGGAGCAGTAAGCTTAAAATTTTAACAGGTAATGCAAGGTGCTAACTACAAGATCAATTTAGAGAGGAAAAATTAATTTACAAGCCACATGTTGATACTTTTACACAGTCTTTATAATTATTAAAATTAATATAAACCTCTTCCATTATGAAATTACCTTAATAATATGGCACCTTTATAATAAAACCTTTGTAATAAATATATTGTTAGCTGCTTATTCTATCCTTCCATGAATTTCAGCTGTAACAGGAAAGGAATAAAAAACTCCCAAAAAAGATTGCAAGTTGGTGCTGTCACCCAAGGATGATGGACTGATTCAATTAATCAGTAAGTCTTTTCTAAGAGCCTTCCGGGAGTTACCTACCGTAGGCATGCCCTGTTCGTTCCCTTCCGGGCACCTGTCATTTTTCTTCATTATTCTTCTAGCTTTACTCATTATATTTTGGGAGTTATGCATATCCACACACAGAAGATGTTGCACAAGTAAATCCTCCAAGCTCCAACTGGAGGCCACCAAAACACCCGAGTCTCTTGTCATTGTTATCTCAGGTTGACCAAGAGTCTCTCAGGATGGAACCAAGCAAGTAAAGGGACGTGTTTGCACATGAATCCACAGGGAAGTATCAAATTGAAAATAGGCTGCAGGTTATAACCACCCTGTGCTCGCATGCGGAACCAGCCTCGCTGCCTCACTATGGCTCATGTTTCCGTGTCAACAGCACATGGGTGCAGAGAGACAGAGGGCTGAAAGGTGGGTGGGGACTGTGTCACTGACTCCTGATAAGACCAAACACGTTCAGTGAGTGTGTTGTTTGGACTACTGACAAGCAAATTTCTTAAACATAAAGTATTTTTGTACCTAATGGGCCAAATCTTCTGTCAGTTGTAAAGAACAAGGATTCCACCTCACAAATGTTGTAATGGCTGTCAGCAAAAAGATAACAAGTGTTCGTGGGAACATGCCGAAAATAGTACCCTTAAACACTGTTGGTGGGAATGAAGGTCAGTACAGTGATCATGGGAACAAATGTTTATGAAAGTCAAAAATGGAACTAGCCTATAATCTAGCAATCCCACTTCTGAGTGCATAGTCAAAAGAGAAAAACTCAGGATGCTGCAGAGATCTCTGTATTCCCACATTCATGGCAACCTTATCCACAGGAGTCTTGCTATGGAATCAGCCTAAGTATCCATCCACAATGGAATGGATAAAGAAAATATTGTACTATGTGCATCATGGGAAAATATTCAGCTTTAAGAAAGAAACCCTGTCATTTGTAACAACATGGATGAACCTAGTGGACATTATGCTAAACAAAACAACCCAGGTGCCAAAAGAAAAATACCGCAAAATCTCACTCGTATGTGGAAAATAAAAATGCAGAATTCAAGAGAAGTTAGATCAGAGGTTAGCATAGGGATGTGGAGAGGATTGAAGAAATGATTAAATGATGCAAAATTCCAGTTAGGAAGACTAAGTTTGTAATCACATGGTGATTATAGTCACCTATAAGAGCTATAATAGCAATGACTCCAATGACGGTGTGCTATTGTACACTGGAAAATTTCTAAGAGAATAAATTAAT